TGCTCTGGTCCATGGGGTCACGAAGAGTCGGACACGACTAAACGACTAAACAACAAAGCATGGAGAGATGGGGACATTATTTTAATGGATACCTGGAAATCTGTTGACCTTAAAGTCAAGGATTTCGCAGTTGCCATTGCAATAATGTCCACTTCTGATTCTCATTCACATGAATTAGAAGAGGGCATCCTAAAGAACTGGAGGGTAGAATCCTATTGGTGCCCTCGAGATCGCAAAAGAATCCAGCAGAGGAATCAATGCAAGAGACAGGGAGGGGATGTTTGCCAGTTCCATCTCCCACTTTAGCGCCCCCCCCCCCAAAAAAAAATCAGCTCCAGAACAGGGTGGACAGTGGTGTGGCAGATTGATGAGGAAGGAAAACCTTACAGATGTCATTGGCAGGGCCTGATGGTAGCGGTTCCTGGCTATGGTGATTTACAATGCTATTCCTCTCTTCACTGTCTGCTGCCCCGACTCTACACAGGCTTTCCAAAATTTCAGACATGCAAACCACATGTATTTTACCAAGTATCATCACTTGATGTTGCTACAGGTAAGCATTTATATCACCCTCGTCCAGTGGCGGAGCTTCATGCTCCAGCACCGGGGGGGGGGGGGCAGAAGGCAGGTGGGGGTGGGGCTGGCACACTTCCTGGGGGTGTGGTGCGCTGCCCGCAGGGGCGGGGCGCGCTGTCTGCGGAGGGCATGGCACCCAGCACAGGCAGGGGAGGCAGCCGCGATGGCACCCTGCCGGGATCACGCTGCCGGGGGCGGTGTGCTCCCCCCACACTCCTCTTCCTCCGCCAGTGCCCTCGTCTACTTTTCAGAATAAATAAATGCAGAAAGATTCCATTTGCATAAAGGCTCTACCATGGGCTTCTATGTGCACCTCAGCCACTGTGATGTCGTTAACCCCTTGAATACTGGCTGCTTTAGCTGGGGTTGGTGAGAGCTGGAGTTGGTAACGTCTGGAAGGAACCACATTGGCTATTCCAGCATAGACTGTTGAATTTTTGGCTGGGGAGACCTAGATTTGAACCTATACTCTGCCAAGAAAATCATTAGATAACCTTGGGACACTCTGTCTCTGTATCACGGATAGGGATCCTGTGACACTGTAAATCCCATCATCTCCAGCCAGCATGCTCGGTGCTCTGAGATGATGGGAATTCTAGTCTAGCAGCATGTGGAAGACACCAAGTTTCCCGTCCCTGCTCTGTATCATAACTTTGTTGTGCAACTAGGAGACATGGGGGAATTTCTTGGAGAAAGACTAAGCTTACAAAGTTCCAAAAAGTAGCTTGAACTTGAGTCTCCCTCATTCAGTTTGAGGATCCAACTCAGGCCAGCAAGAGGTAGTGATAGCCAGTAAGTTGGATGGCATTGAAATAGGACTGCACAAATTCATCGAGGATAAGGTTATCCATGGCTACTATTATAGAGCCGGGATGGCTATGTTCTTACCTCCACTGTTGGGAGACAATATGTCTCCAAACACCAAGTGCTGGGAACCACAAGTGGGGAGAGCAGTGTTGCACTCAAGCCCTGCTTGTGAGCTTCTCCAGGGCATCTGGTTGGCCAACGTGAGAACAGTCTTTGGCTAGATCCACCTGAGCTCATCTTATGCCACCATTACCCAACGCTTGACTAAATAGTACTTATATTTATCAGTTACCGCATAATATAAATTTTCTACATTTCCCTAAAATGAGCTGCCATGGGGAACTGGTCGGCAAACAGCTCACTTATTGATTCTCCATTTCTCTTCTCAATACGTACGGCAAATAAGACACAGTGTCCTTCCCCAGAACTTTATCCTCCTTGTCCTCATAGCCAAATCTCAGAAGGTGCCAGGAATGACCTGGCAACCACCTATTTTGCAGCCATGGATAGGATGCAAAATTATACCTCTGTCCACAACGGACATATTTACAGTTGTCAAAGAAATATGGCAAGAGGGAACAGATACAAAAAGCTCTCATGCCATTAAATGTAATCACTAAGCTATTAGCTTATTTGAAGAAGAGATGAAAGGATAATGGGCTGGGCTTTGTGCAAGTCTCAATTGCATTGAAACACACCATATTTGTTTTTGTTTTAAGAACAGAACCCTTGCTAAATATGGAAATCTTTGCTTTATTTCATCCTGCGCAGGTGGGATTAGCAAGAGATTTGATAGTGTTTGTTGTGATCTTTGATTTCCAGCACAACAGTCCCTCTACAACCAAGCTGTGCCTATTACTTCTGCCCAAAGAAACAAGCTCTTCAGTTTGGTACAACCTCTTAAGAGGAAATCTATTTACACACTTCAGTTGCACATAAAAGGCAGACCTCTTCTGAACATAAAGCTTCCATTTACCCAGCATGGTTGCTTAGAGGCTATTACATTAGTAGAGCAAGCAGGATATGGTTTGTATGGATGGGAGTGGCTTCAAAGCATTAGTAGGATTTGTAGGATGCTACTGGTGCCCTAGAGATCTAACACAAACACAGGAGTTCTAACCAACTAATCCTACTTATTTCTTTAAAAAAAGTAGGAGGAGATCACCATTCTCTCTCATTCACACATACACAGAGACTTTCAAAACTCTAACATTTATTCTTGCCTATTTTGCATGAGAAGAGAAGACTCATGAGAAGAGAAGAGAAGACTCCCTGGAAAAGACCCTGATGTTGGGACAGATGGAGGGCACAAGGAGAAGGGGATGACAGAGGATGAGATGGTTGGACAGTGTTCTCGAAGCTACCAGCATGAGTTTGACCAAACTGCGGGAAGCAGTGGAAGACAGAAGTGCCTGGCGTGCTCTGGTCCATGGGGTCACGAAGAGTCGGACACGACTAAACGACTAAACAACAACAACATTTTGCATGAATTATCTTGCATTCTCTTACCACTCACTATCAGTCCACCCACTGATGACTGCATCTATCAAACAATCGTGCCAGCGCATAAAAGCATGTTATGGACCTGGTGTTACCAGAAATACTGCACTGCTTGCAGGATCCTGTTTTGCTTCCCTTTCTAGTTAAAACAGGAAAAAAGAGACCATATCCCAAGTGCAAATCCCCACCATCACCGCCAATATACACAAACCAATTTGCTACCATGTTCAAAATTTACAACCACAGGTCTGGTAAGAAACATAATTTTTAAAAATTAGACAATAATATCTTTCAATGCAAAAAATATATTTTAAAAGTTCAGATTCTCATACCACTTTCGCAGATCACCTTCCTAATGCACCAGAATGCTGAACTCGATAGCAAACAAAAAATCCACCTCAAGGTTTTGTCCCAATGACTTTTAAAAAAAGGAGGTGAGAGGATTATTAACTATTCCAATCATTCCTTACAGCAGTTATAATGAAGTCTAGCCTTTCTTGGATTTCACTGCAGTCTTGGCAGCCGGCCACTATGCTCAGCCGCCAACAGGAGAGGCGAAACGGCTACCAGTTTTACAGAATGTGGCTAAGGAACAGTGCCAAATGCAAGCGTCCAAAAATCATGAGTCAGCCAGCATATATCATAAACTGATTTCTTTTTAAGTGTGAAATGATATGAAAACATGGGGGGGGAATTCCCTCCTTTTCATGTGTGTTTGAGCTTTCAAGGCTTTTAACATTAAAATGAAGACATGGGTGACAGCAAATCTCCTTTCACTTGAAGTTACTATTAATAATGTCCTCAGTGGGACTCTGGCTCTTTCCAAGCACTGACAATTAGCTGATCCTTGATTCTTACAGAGAGCCCTGCTCTATGCTTTGACACCTCAAAAGTCAGCCGAGAGTCAGGACTCAAAAGCAACTTGCAAAGGATTTCACAGGCTGATCAGCAGCCCCTGCAAACCCTTTTGGGGGACCAGCTGCAACTTTTCTTGCCCCACACCTGATTGCGTATAGTGCATCAGGTATAGGGCAGATGGGCTTGCATGGGGCACAATGGCCTGGCAGGCCACATGGGGAGGCCTGGTTGGCCCATCCATCTCTGTGCTACAGTAATATAAGAAGTGCTCCACCTAGCTCAGTACAGTGGTACCTCAGGTTACATACGCTTCAGGTTACAGACTCTGCTAACCCAGAAATAGTACCTCGGGTTAAGAACTTTGCTTCAGGATGAGAACAGAAATTGTGCTCCGGCGGCACGGCAGCAGCAGGAGGCCCCATTAGCTAAAGTGGTGCTTCAGGTTAAGAACAGTTTCAGGTTAAGTACGGACCTCCAGAACGAATTAAGTTCTTAACCCGAGGTATCACTGTATGGTCAACTGCTCTCCAGGGTTTCTTTCTTAGCCATACCTGGAGGTGCCAGGGACTAAATCTGGGATATCATCCATACAAAACACAGGCTTTACCGCTGAGCTATGACTCTTCCCCTACCAGACTACTTGAAGAGTTTTTCCCCATCTCCTTACTCCAGTCTGAATAGATGAGGAGCTAGCTAGCCGAGTTTTACTAATTTGTTCACTCCATTTATGTACAGTGGTATCGGGTTAAGAACTTAATTTGTTCTGAAACTGTTCTTAACCTGTTAACCTTAAACTGTTCTGAAACTGTTCTTAACCTGAGGTACCACTTTAGCTAATGGGGCCTCCTTCTGCCACCACACAATTTCTGTTCTCACCCCGAAGCAAAGTTCTTAACCTGAGGTAGTATTTATGGGTTAGTGGAGTCTGTAACCTGAAGCGTCTGTAACCTGAAGCGTCTGTAACCCGAGGTACCACTGTATTGCCTTTCTGCCCAAGAAATCTAAGTGGTTTGCATTTTATAATGAAGTTTGTGAATCTCTGAGAAAACAATAGGAAAAGGGGAATAGGAAATACAGATAACGGGCGCACACAACAAAACTACAGATGTCACATGACAGCAAGGAGTTGTCACTGCAGAAAATTGTTCAGAGTGGAGAATCTAAATGGAAGTTTGTTGTCGTTTAGTCGTGTCTGACTCTTCGTGACCCCATGGACCAGAGAACACCAGGCACGCCTGTCTTCCACTGCCTCCCGCAGTTTGGTATGGAAGTTGGCCACAGCCAAATTGGTGGAAGGGTCCTCTTTGGCCCTTCTTTATATGCAGCCAATAACTAAAATCAACACACACTAAGGGGGGGGGGATTCAATGTCACACTACGACAAAAGTTCCGTCTGTGCAAGCTTTTCAGCCTGCTAGATGGAATGATACCCCGTCTCCCACCCCATAATTTCTGTTGTTCTGCTGCTACCTATCAGTTTATGAAACAGCAAGGCTCTTAATACCTGTGAAAAATGACTCACATCTGGTTAGAGATCAATGTCGGGACAAAATGATAAAATTGCCAGCTTCTGATTTCTAACCAGCCAACTCCACCCCCACCCCCCCAAAAAAGGTCATCATACGGATTTGGTTGCAGCCTTGCCCCATCGAAAAGGTAAACTTGGAACAAAACATAGTGAGCAGATTTCTAGAGGGTTGAAGGAGAACATCTAATCCACTTGCTTTTTGCAGTCGGAAAATCACCGAAAGTAAGATGAAATCAAGATAAGAAGAGTCCTGGTGGATCAAGTCAAAGTTCCCTCTGGTCCAGCATCATGTTCTCATCCTGGCCAAACAGGTGCCCATAGGAAGCTTGCAACTAGCAGGACCTGAGCACAACAGCCCTCTCCCCACTTGCACTGCAGCCAACTATCTCATTGTCTTTAGCATCACCTTATCCATGAAATCTGTCTCTCCTTTTTAATTTTAATGGTTCATATTTTTTAGGAACTTAAATGTTGTGTTCCTTATATAAGCATGCACAATAAATCATTAGTGGCATTTCCCCCTGCCGAGTTAAGTTCTCAGGGTTTTTTTTAACACATAAAACTGGAGCACGATAGTGATCTGCTAATGTACTAATTAATAAAAACTCCTCTCAATCATCAATTACGAACTCCCACGGACTTTTCTTTGTTAAGCATTCTTCACGCTGGCATTCCCTCATTGACATCCAGTATTCAGACTGTTGAACGAACTTGGTTTTAACCCTCCTCTCTTCACTACCCACGAAGTTTGTTTTTAAGTATTGGTTTTTTAAGTAATTTAAATATTTTGTACTACCTTTCATATAGCATCCCAAAGCTGTGCACAACTGGTGGGGGAGAGAATCAATTGAATAAAATAAATATTGACACAACAGGGAAATCTACAAAGAATAAAATACCTTGGTGTCAAGGCTTCAGGGAATCCGATCCCTCCCACGGTGGCAGCCAAGAAGTAGAAAAACAAGAAGAGTCCTTTATTCAATATTCACAGAGAGAGAACATAGAAATGCCGTTTCTCTTAGATAATGGTATGTCCTACGGAGGACCTTACGCTCTTCAAATGAAAACATCTTGGAGGTCCCGGGCCACAGGGAGGTTAGGCTGGCCTCAACCAGAGCCAGGGCTTTTTCGGCCGTGGCCCCGATCTGGTGGAATGCTCTGTCCCAAGAGACTAGGGCCTTGCGGGACTTGACATCTTTCCGCAGGGCCTGCAAGACAGAGCTGTTCCACCAGGCCTTTGGCCAAGGCACAGTCTGACCCCCTCTCTCCTTCTGCAATCCTCATAGAACTCTAGCCCAATGGTTGCCATTAATTTGACTCTGAATTGATTTTAGAACGTATTTCATTTAATTGATTGTGATTTTGTGTAAGCTGTGTTATTTTTACTGTTATTAGCCACTCTGAGCCCAGCTTTGGCTTGGGAGGGCGGGATATAAATAAAAAATATTATTATTATTATTATTATTACTCCAAGTAAAGTCCCACCCCCTCTGTCTCTTCTATTCTACGTCATCCCTACGCCAGCTAACCTGTGTTTTTCTGCCTCTGAGCTTTCTGTTCTGCTATTCTCAAAGCACACCGTATCCTGGGAGAGGGGGGTCAGGAATGCTATCTAAAGGCACTGAGTCTGTCAGCTGTCTCTCCCCTGGTGCTTCTTCTTCCTGCTCCTGATCTTCACCCAATATTTCCCAGCTTCTCCCCTCTGCGGCCTCTGAACTATGACCTTCTGCAAACCACTGTTCTAAATCTATACTGTCTCCCTCTTCTCCGGGAAGTGCAAGGGGAGGGGGCAGACTCCACCATTTCTCCTCCAATATCCAGTCCCTGAGAGTTGGCAATCCTGAGCAAATTAATATGCCACCTCCAGAATTAAAAACCAGCAATCGCCTGCCAGAAAGTGCTGAAACACCATAGTATCAACATCTCTGAATTCCAGGGGAGGTGATTCCACAGAGAGGGTGCCACTGCGGAGAAGCCCCTCTTACTGCTCACAGTTGTCTCTTGAACCAGTGAATCATATGAGATGCCAATCCAACCAAAGCCCATGAGAGGTAGGGCAATCGTAGGATTGGTATCCAATGCTGCTGTTCCACTTCCACAGCATATTTCCACTTGTGCAATGGAACTCCCCCCTGCAGCCCCTTGAGTATCCTCAAAATCTACTGCACAGCATTGGGGGCTCCTCCAGAGCAGACTTTGGAGGCACACAGGGAGAAGAGAGGAGAGGAAGAGGCTGTCCCACTGCAAAGGCAGAGCTCCACTTATGCTGCATTGTACACTTAAAAATAAGCTAAGTTGGGTATTTTTTAATACAGTGGTACCTTGGGTTACATACACTTCAGGTTACATACGCTTCAGGTTACACACTCTGCTAACCCAGAAATAGTGCTTCAGGTTAAGAATTTTGCTTCAGGATAAGAACAGAAATCGGGCTCCGGCGGCGCGGCAGCAGCAGGAGGCCCCATTATCTAAAATGGTGCTTCAGGTTAAGAACAGTTTCAGGTTAAGAACGGACCTCCGGAATGAATTAAGTACTTAACCTGAGGTACCACTGTAGAGGCTGGATGGCCATCTGTCATGGATGCTTTGCTTGAGATTCCTGCATTGCAGGGGGTTGGACCAGATGACCACAGGAACCCCTTCCGACTCTATGATTCTGTAAGTCCTGAGGTAAGACTGTAAAGGCTCTGAAACCGATCTCTTGTTGCAATTCCTGCTTTTGCGGTTCCTGGTCCTGTAAGTTCTTTGTTTTTCCTCCTGGACAGCTAGCATAGCAAGACAAAAAGAGTGATGGGACTGGCAAGGTCCTCAAAAAGTAGAATATCCTTGTTTAACAAAGGAAGGGGGGGAACCCACTCAGCTTTCAGACCAGGCAGAAGACTCCAGCCTACACATACCTTAGACACATTAACCACAATCTCAGTCACAGGCACATTCTATTATATCTCCTTTCATGCCTCTGCTCCCTTGCCTGGCGCCACTTCCATCAGTATGGATAACTTGCGGTTATTAGGAGGCATTAGGAGTGCGGGAAGAGGAGAGGCACTGGAGACATCCAGCGGGAGGGTTTGGGGAAACCCGTCAAGAGGGAGTGGAGTGGTATTAAGAAGGACTTTGAAGAACGAACATCTCCGACTCAGAACCGCCCCCAGGTTGCGCTGTTAATGGCTGTAAAATATGCACATAAACAGCTGAAAACCAGGGGATTCAGATGTCGGCAGACACCCATGATTTAATGCAAATAAAAAGCTTATGGTGTCTTAATTCTCCGGCAGAAGGGCAGAAAAATAAATCTGCTTGCATCAATGATCTCAGATGCTTCTGACATCTCACACAGGATATTATCATCCCTGCAGACTGATATTAAAAAGAAACAAAGTTCTCCTCAGTAAGATTTCCAAAGAAAGCCCAAGTGTTAAGTGTAATGCATGCCAGAGATAGCAAGAACTCAGGCTTTTCTCACCAATGGTCAGACAGCCTCACTCTAGCGCTGCTTATGTACACAGGTTTTATGAGACCAACGGATTCAGAACAGGCCAGACAGCTCCAAGCCATCAGGTAACTCATACTGAGTAGGACAAAACAGGAGCATAGCAGCACAGCTAGAAAGAGTGACCACTGTGGGGACCCACATATTAATACCAATGTCCTTTGAAAACAGCCTAGTCTAGGCTTCCTTAACCTAGTACCCCTCAAGTGTTACTTGACTACAACTCCATAGCTGTCAACCGTCCCTTATTTGGCAGGAAAGTCCCTTATCCCAGTGCAGTGTCCCGCTGCTGTCCCTTATTGATGATGTCCCTTAAATTTCCCGGGTTTCAAAGGAAGCAGCTCCTCTCCATCCCTCCCTGCCGGCCAGGGAGGAGGGAGGCTCCAACTGTGTTGCTTGGCTGCGTTGCTTACCCAATAAGGAGTCTAAGAACAACTGGGGGGTGGAGCTTGAATGCCTTGTGCCGATCAAATTGGTCGCGTTGCCTGGGGACTCGCCTTTGCTCAGCGCTTCCCAGTGGAGAGGTGATGGTGGTTTTCCTTGCTGCATCCCTTTTGCCGGGTTGCTGAGCTGTGGGAACCACCGCTTGAGGCTTTGTTTGGCTGCTGGCTGGGCTTTCTGCCTTTGGCTCGGAGGGGCTCAGAGGTTGAATATGCCTGTGCTCGCAAAATCCCTTATTTTGGCTGCTGATCCCTTATTTTCAAATCTGTAAGTTGACAGCTATGCAACTCCCATCAGCCCAAGCCAGCAGGGGCAGGAGTCAGAGCTGATGGGAGATGTAGTCCAGCAACATCTAAACAGCAGCAAACTGGGATTGGATGGGATGAAGATTTAGGGCCTCACAAAAACAGCCTTCAGGTAAGCTATCAGTATTCACTTCCAGCATTGGCCAGCCAGATACTTCTGGGAAGCTTACAACCCAAGCAGCTTGTCATCAGCTCCAGCATCTGCTTTCCTGCTTGCAAACATGGAGGCTCCGATTAACTACCATGGTCAGAAGGCAAATCTTCAAAGCAGCCATTACCGCAGATATTAGAGCAAGCAGCAAATTCTAATTAATATCACCCACAATTCCTGCCAGAGACTCCTCCAGGAGACAGATTGGCTCTAAGCGAAGTGCAGAAGAAGCTGACAACATAGGAAACGGAGCTATGATTCAGGAACTGGCAACAGAGCTAAGAAAGTCGCATAAAACAGGAAACATCGAAGGCCTTGATTTGACCCTACTCTTGTGATTGATCTCAGGAATGTTAGTACTAACTGTTTTGGATGAGACTGTTTTCTGGATATATAGCCTCTATTGCCAGTGGGTGTTATGAACACTGTGAAACCTAAGCAAACATGCGTAGGCATAGATGCATGATTCACTGTAATCCTTATTCTCGTGTACTTTTTCAGAGTACTATACTACAGCTCCAGACTCCACAAAAGCATGAACTTAGCCCGCCCCAAAGGGCTTACACGGTAAGAGCGGAGATCTAGATTTCTTTATCGCTGCTTGCTCACAATGCAAGCTAAGGTCTGTACGCTTAAAATGATGGTCACGAACATAGTTGAAAGGAATAGGAAAGCTTATGCCAAAACCAGCTGAACTGGACTGAAACATCAAGGCAGAGACCCTGAATCACTAGCAGCAAAGAGGGAGCTGCTTTCTTACAGCAACTGCAGCCTTTAAGACGCATCTGAAGTGGTATTAAAAACAAAGGGATAAATGATGGCTTTGCTGGAGAGTTGATGAGCTATAACTGCAATATAGGATGCTTGCTTTACTTCCAACTTGTTTGTTCTCTACGTAACATTCTGAAACCACTTTTTAAACACAATTTTTAAAAAAACCCCAAACTGTTATATTAATCAATCGATCGATCGATCGATCAATCAATCAATCAATGGCATTTGCAACTCACCCTCATCACACAGTCCCAGGACCGATAGACGTACATCAATACAACAATAAATACAACATCTCTAAAATCCCATACTGTAATAAATGTAGGGGTTGCTCGTGCGCAAGTTGGTGCCACTCCTGGCTAGGTTGCCTTGTTAAACCTTTTCTGTCTGGACAGCCCCTGCACTTCGTGGCTGTTCAGTCACTAGCAGAATCCGTCAGTGGGCGTTTTTTAAACCTTTTCCAGCATAAAAGTTGTTTGACTCCAAGTCTCCTCCTACTCTCCCTGCGCGTAAGTCTTCTGCGCAGGGAGGGCGTGGGTAGCGGAGGACCCGTGCTCTCCTCGCTGATCTCCGGCGAGGAGTCCTGGAGCCCCCTCGCCGATTCCCCCATCTGCCCCCCTTTATCCCTGGTGTTACGCTGATTTCTTTCCCCAGCTGGCGAGCTGCCTCTCCCCCTGCTGGGCCCTTCTCCAGCATCGCTCGAGAGCCTAGCCTCCGCCTCTGGCTCTGATGTCAGTTCCCTGACACATACATACCATATTGGCCTGAATATAAGCCGTACCTTTAAAACTGGAGGGGGGGATTAAAAAATACCCAAATATAAGCCGCTCCATTCCTTGCTGCTCCTGGCTGCATACTTTGGGGGGGGCAGCCAGGCTGTGGGCTGTGTTGCCAGTGGCCTTTTCCACTCCTTGCTCTCTCCCTTCCTGGCCTTGGGGGAGAGGACGGGGGACTAGGCGCGGGGAGGGCACCGCTTTGCGTGCTTCTGGCGCTGTTTGCCCTGCGCTCCTGGTTGCGTACCGTAAGGTCGTGAATATAAGCCACACTTTAACTTTTCACAGTCGGAATTTGGGGAAAAAGTGATGCTTATATTCAGGCCAATATGGTATATAAAATATGAATATCCTCATTAAATTTAGTAATTAGCTGTCATGGACAGGTTGGTCATGGAAGAATGGTGGAGTGAACCAGCTAGGGAAGAAGGCTAACCACCTGGGGATTGGTGGTGGAACAACGATGAGTGATCACAGGGAGAAGACCAGGAAGAGGAGGCGTCGGAAGCTGAAAAGGTAGCAGGGCGTAGTGAGCTGGGAGAGTTTGGGACAGAAAGAAGTTCAGAATCTGAGGCAAAAGCCAGCGAGTGGGAGAAGGGAGGCCAAGAGACAGAGATGAGTCTGGATGGTGAAGAGTCATGGGTGTCTCCTCTCCTGCTGTGACAAGCTCCTCTCCTGTCTCCCAGAACCAGAAGAGGGCTGAAATGAGCAGAGCAGTGACAGGCTGCACGCAGAGACTAGTTTCTGTACACTCACACATTGCTTTATCCAGGCGAGTAAGAAGCTTACAAGAGTTGAAGGACACATTTGAGCCAGGCAAAAGCACTAAAGGAAGATGCAAAGCAAAGCAGGTGAGGGATGTGGCTTGGGGAAAGCC